TGTTGCTGGACGAGGAACGGGAGAGTCACTTTATGTCCATCCACCTCGTAAAACGTAATGGTTAAGTGGCATGCAGATACGATCGACGCTGGCTAGAGAATGGACAAGCATCGAGCGTACAAAGGAGGAGCTGAAGTGACCGTTCTGCGAACCGAGCGCGCCTTTTTTTCTTCGTCATGAAAATCGCACTCGTTCGACTGGGTTTTTCCCCGTGGCGAGCAAACTTCGAGCAAACTGCTTCTGCTTCGTTATTTCATTCTTTTTGACATTTTTGAAATTCCACGCAGCGAGATTGTCCCCTGTCGGGATAAAATTTGAAGCGAATCCGAAAATGTTCGGATAAGAATATCTCGGGAATAGATTGTAGAGACACCGAGTCAAATCCTGAATGCTTGTCACTCGAAAAAGTTCGAAAATGGCGGTTTGTTATGGGTATATATTATTATATATATTTACTTGCAATACTTTGTCCAGTTAGTGCACGTATTGTTTAAATGTGACGTTTAATAGAATCTTCTACTTTGAAACGCCACGTATAAAAGCAGAATCTAAAAATTGTAGATCAGAACCTCGTGACGTTTCCTCTGTTTATGTAATAAATAACCATTAGAAACGTTCGAAACAATCAGACGTAACTGCGTACAACTTTCACACCTCGCTTCCTCGTAAAGAACACAAACGCATCGATTTGCCTCTCCCAACGAAGGGAACTTTTGTTTCGCGAGCTTGTCGGCAACAATAACACATTGTAGAATCGAGTGGTGATTCGTGAAAGGCTCTGGCATCATCTTCTCAAATGCCACGTACACCGAGTCTAATCAGAAAGAAGATCCTGGGAACCGCCCTTCTATCCTTTATACTCCTCTTTTTTTTTCCACGTTTCGCCTCGTCATTATCATCACTTGCAAGTATAGTATTGAGAACACTGATTCCACCCCCTTCCTCTACGAACACTATTCGACATTTATGTCCTTATCGTTTTAAACTGGGAAAAATTTCAGGAGAAATAAAAATTCGCACTCGAATATAACGAAATCGAAATTTAAAAATCTAAACCTGAAAGTGGAGATTAAATTACATCCATAAGAGATAACGAGACAATATTTCATGTTCACATGGAATACATCTAATGAAAAGTTACTATCTACTTATATTACTTAAATATCACCCTTAATTAAGCGTACGCTTAACTACTACGACACCTTATTTAAATACTAATGAATATCCATCTCCTGTTTATCAAAAATCTAAATATTTCATTATAATATCTTGTCGATCATACATTTTTTTATAAATTTACTTATTAGATATCTAAAGATCCTACATACATCTTAAAATCTATCCAAAGATCAATTTATGGAGAACTTGCCTATACAAAAATTTAAATAGAATAAAGAGAAAGAACGATAGAAGTCTTTTTTTATTTTTGTCATATTGGTTCCTGAAACAAACCACAGAAAATTTAGTAAAATTCAATAAAGTATAATTAATTACCAATAAGACTTATGTTTAAGTGATAGTTGTTGATAGTAGCTATATTTTAGCCACATCAGATAATCCAGAAATGAGAACATACTTCCACAATCTCAATGGAAGAATCTTGGGCGTTTCACAACACTAATGAAAGAAATACTGTCACTCATCAACGCAATGCTAACTGTGAAAAAATTAAAACAACCGCGACGGAAGAATATTGCAACATCTAAGTCTTGAAATAAATTTAATAAAAATGACTATATATGCCTGCATGAATAAAAAGCTATTATTACCATTCGTGAAATCCGCAAATCGCTATGAATATAATTAAAAATTAAAATACTTCTCTAATTAAATTTGATGTAAGAAAACACACAACAAATTCTAATAAAACACTTAAATTACTACCTACTTATGATTAAAGCACACATACCAGAAAGTAAACTACCTATCCTATTCAGCCATCCTATATTTAAAAAGTAGCAAAAGACAGGCACACCAACATACTCACTCCACGATTCTCACACATACACCCGAGCGCAAACTTCCACTAAAGAGGACATCCTTGGTCGCCTTCGACATCCGAGTGTCATACACATCATTCACATTCTAATTTACGTACCATTTTTCTGAAATCGACTGACGAAGGCTAGCGACCATTGCGTGAAATGTGATAAAAATATATGTATTTCTATTTGAATAGGATATACTTCAATGTCAGTTTGAATTAAATACTCATGATCGTATTGTATAAATATTCACAATATTTGAAATAAATAGTACAAAGAGAATTGTTATATGTGTATTGCTTGAAATAATAGCAGAACCGACGCAATTCCACATCCTAACCACATACACACATGCGCATCATCAGTCGCTAAGAAATTATTAAGCTTATAAACTATGGTCATCATGCCTATTATCTTTCTCCAACCCAAGTAGCACCTGGGCACGCGACTAAGGTCCTGGCAATGAGTATAGAAAGGGTTAAGTCTGAAAATCCTGAACTAAAAAAATGATTAACATATCTATTTTGCATCTAACGAACTAATATTCCTTATATTATACTTTCTTTATTTTGTTTCAATTTTCAATGGATACTTTATCTAGTTTAATAAAATGGTGAAATGCTATATATGAATGAAGGAAGGGAAATATAATGAATATATTTATTAAGGAAAGAAATAAAACTCAGTGCAAATAATATAAAATTCAATAAATAACAATGAACTCTTAATAAAGTACTGATAAAAATATCCTTAGACGATATCTTCGTCAAAGCACATCTTTAGAAATACAGAAGTAATATTCAAAACTGTTACTTTGATTCTGAAATCGCGATGTATCTTCTTGCACTATCAAATTTTATAAATTCTTTGATAAAACTAAACTTTAATATCTTTATATTTCAATATACTGTAGAAACAATTTTAATGAATATATATTTTGTGATTTTGAATTAATTATCAATATTATTATTCATACCAATTCTTTATATTGTAATATTATATCAATGTTAAAATTAATTCATTATTACTAACATCCAAAAACGCGATGTGCAAGAAAACCTATCTTAAGTTAAAAAAATAAAACACAGACAAAAAAATGTTACTGCTCACGAGTATAATAAATACTCGTAATCGCTATGTTCGTCAAAGTTCTATGTAATACAACCAGTCACTCGTGTCGATTTAGACTTTTTATCCTATACAACATGATTGAGTGACCAGAGGAACAGAAATGCATGCGACTCACAGTTAGATGTGAAGAACGTTGTCATCAGTGGCATAAGGAAAATCATTGTAACATCAGACAGGAATCGCTGAATCCACGAAAGAAATAAAGGCTGGAAAAAGTCTGTAAAGAAGTATATTTGTTTATAAAAGTAGTGCTAAAAAATTTAAGAAGTTTAAAATAATGAAAAATTTATCTCTATAAAATATAGAAATGTTTGTACAAATATTTATTATAGATAAAAAAATATCATATTAGGAATATGAAATATATAGTTAATATATTTAACATATTATTATATGTTATAAAGTATTTCTTAACATTGCCAAATACCTATGAATATTACGTAATACAATTAATCTACATAAATTATAACTCTGAATATGTGTTACTGAAGTTTCAAATATGCTTCGTGTTATTCATATATGGCGCGCATTATCATCGAGCGAAGCTGCGCAATACGTAAAACACGCGATGCGCAGAAAGTATTTGAACTTTTCTGTGATGGCGTCTTTTTCCGAAAATTATTTGTCTTTTTCGAAAGAATATATATTAAATATTAAATAGATGTTGCTAATTATACAATAAAAAGAAAAACGTTACCATAAAAAACTGTTGAATTCATCATTGACCACTGTAGCATCCCTCGCAATGCTTCGAATTTCTATCGATTCTCGCAATCAATCAATAATCTATACAAAAAAAATCAAAACTTTCAAATTATATAAAAAGAAAACAATATTTAAGAATACTAATATGAACGAAATACAAATGAAAAAAGAAAATATTACACAAGTTAATAATAATACACAAGTTAATAAACATCATGCAAGGAGATACATCTTAACGCCATGATTTTCGGTAATGGACTAACCTCTCGTGCAACACTGTCTGTCTAGTGAACTAGTCTGCTGGATTATGAGGATTCAAACACAACAATACAAATAGAATTTAGTTGATTTCTTAGAAAAGCACAGTATTCTGCGAAAATATTTCCAGCGATGAATATCATATACCATATACGTTTGAACGAACCGCTATTCAATTTAAACCACAGATGAAATACAGAACAAATCTGACCTCTTACGGGATTTTGTGTCACTTGTTCTCAAATACCAACTGTTCAAAAATGACAGATCTATAATTATATGTCATCGAATTCATTTTATTGAAATTAAATTTCGTTTTATTGAATTTGAAATTTTTTGATAATATATAATAGCCTTTAATGAATTCAATACATTCACATGCGTTTCCGTATAGTTTTTAAACACTTCTGATTATCGATGCAACAGTAGTGCGCCTGCGTGAACTATTGCGCGTCTGCGCAAAAGCTCGTACAACAAAATTTGAAAATTTGAATAGATGCAAATTGCTTTTTTTTTTATTTTTTATCATTAGAGAATAAAAAATACTTTGAAGAATAATACGAAAATTTTAAATTGAATATACTGAACAAAGATAGTCTATCGTTGCCAGTAGCTTTAAATTACTAAACGAATAAAAATCTTTTCATAGCCTTTCATCACTTTCGACGAAATCCTATGATGTTATCTATTTATCTCTAATCTATGACAATAATCAATATCTATATAAGCAATTTCTTCAATTAAATTCCAGAATTATCCTGACATCTACCTTCTACTTGCAAAAAAAGGAATGTAACTATTCGATACAACAGATTAGCAAGA